GCACCTGCACCCCTGCACCTGCACCCTGCACCTGTACCCAAACCCTGCACCCTGCACCTGCACCCAATTAGCGGAACATCTAGCATTACATATGGTCCAGATGTAATGCTAAATGTTCCGCTAATTGGGTGCAGGGTGCAGGGTGCAGGGGTGCGGGGTGCGGGGTGCAAGGTGCAAGGGTGCAGGTGCATGGATGTGGGTGAAGGGGTGCTGTGGTGAAGGGTTGCAAGTTGCATGTGCACAGCAGACATATGGTGGGGGGGGGGGTATGGTGTCAGGGCTGGTCACATTCTGAGCGTCGGTCTTGACGTGTGTGTTAGCTGTCGTCGCTGTCCCTGGAAGGTTGCGGACATTGGAGGATGGGTGATGTCTTACGGGTCACTCACGGCAATGGATAAGGCATTGGATGCCGATCCATGCATGAATCATTCTTTTCTGCAACAATCAGAAACGTTGATTCAGCGCAAGATCGCAAACCCAGCGCTCCGCGTTGGGAAATCCGACTGCATGTTTATGGCGGAATCTGTCAAGGTCACCGAAGAGAAGCGGCAAGGCATCAAGAAACCGAAGCGCAAATTCATGTCATTGGAGAAGTGGGAGAAATTGCACGGTCCGGTTGAGGCCTCACGGATTAAATGCCATCGCATTGATGGCGTTGAGATCCGCGGCGTTGACTACATCGAAGAGGGCGACAAAGACATTTACGAATACATCGACGAGAGCGTGGGCACAGTTGCGAGAGAGACGCAACTCTCCAATCCAGACTTGGTATTGTCTGCGGATCAGACGTCCACAATATTTTCGGCAGCATCGAAGCAGCTCAGCATGGCCCCCAAGGAGGACAATGCATGCTTTGTTCTACCATCATCATCGGCTTCTTCGACGTTGCCTGGCTCCTCTTGCAATCCCTCCGGTGGCGTGAGTGCTGCTCCCACGGAGGACATCAGTGCTATTAGCTACTGCTAACTCTTTTCCACGTGACGATATTCATTTTCATGTAAGCATTGGCAGCTGGGGTGTTTCGGTCCGGTTGTTGCAACTTGCAAGGACGCTGACGACGATGATGACGAGGATGATGAACAGCCGTTTGCAGCTCTGTTCGATCGCCTCAAGTCCTCCACCCCCAAGTTGCCCAAGGCGAAAGCGAAGGCACAGGTGCAGCAGTCGGATGCACGTGTGTCCAAAGGCGCCACTCGCAACAAGCGAGCTGCTGCCGAGCCCGACGCAGCACCGGCAGCTTCGCTGGGACAGGCTCTCAAGGCGTCACGGGTAGGGCCGCGGTCATCAAGCATGGTCACTGATGACGATGAGGTGGATGCTAAGTTCAGGGAGGCGGTCGATAAATTCCTTGAGATGAAGCCTGAGACTGACGATGATGCTGGGTTTACAGCGTGGTGCAAAAGTCGGATCACAAGCATGTCTGAGCTGAAGACTCAGATTTCGAACAAGAAGAAATCCCTCAAACGGCGCAGCACCAAAACGGATACGGATTTGGGATCCCGCTTGGACATTCACCTGGAGGTACTCAACAAGCTCATGGATTTCGTCCGCAAACTTTCGGTTGGACATTCAGAGGGGCAACAGCTGTACACCGGGCTGGTGGAAATGCCTGACCTAGAGGTTAACACGATCATTTGGAAACGGGCCTTGCGTGCAGTTGCTTTCGAGACACTCAAGCTTGCACAATGGGGGAATTTCTTTAGCGAAACATTTGAGTTATGTCGCAGACATCTGCCGGATGATGAGGAGTTCTTCCCGTTGCTTGCATCCCAGCTCTTGCAGAGGTTGCTGAAGGCACTGCCGGTTTCCAAGTTGACCAATGAATCGCTCAACTATGTGAGGTCGTTTGTTGATGCCGCCATCGTGAAGCCGACTACGACGCAGCCCGTGATGTGGAATCTGGATGACCACATCAACGTCTTGAATCATATCCACGAGATCTTGGACCTTAGTGCTGCGCCATCGGCTGTTGCAGCGGCTTTGGAGAAAGTCTTGAGTGATGAGGCAGGGGCTCATTGGGCTGCTGCCGCATTTACTCTCCCACAGGGTCGGAAAGTGTTGGACTTTGCATCAGCAACCGCGAAGGCCAAGGATGCAAAGTCTGAAATTCTGGAGATTCTGCACTCGACGGAGAGAGAGCTTACATCTTCAGGGTTATGCAACCTTGAGGCACCTTTCCTGGTAGCTTTGAAGGGCAACTTCGACGACAATCATGCGGCGCTGTTAGCCAAGGCGTTCCAAGACTTGGCACAGAAAAAGCTCAAGATTCTCAATCAAGAACGGTGACCGGGACAAATTGAACCGTGTGCAAGACTTGTCACATCAGGCTGTGCTCGTGGCCATTCTGGCGCATGTCAACCATGAGCTCATTCCGTTTCTTACACGATGGAGCGATGTCGTGAAGACAGCAGACGACGACGTCGTCATCGACTATGAATCACGGTGTGTGGGTAGCCTAGCGGATGGCGTATGCCCGATTACCGATTTGCTGAAGGACGTTGCAAAGTTCCTGGGTGACCTGAAGGGCAAGTTTTTCGGCCCGGCAATTGACCCTAAGGAGATCGGTGCTTTGTCAGCGACATGGAAGCTGAAATCCAAGGTGCTCCTGGAAGCTTTGTCTGCTGCTGTGAGCAAAGCTGGGGCAGACTCAGATCAACGTGTTCCGGAATTGATTGAGAAGCTAAAAGAATGTGTCATGACAGTTGGGGCAACTATCGATCACGCCATCCACACAGAGGTTGATGAGTCAACATCTAAGCTTGTTGAGAAGTGCCTGCACACCCTCCAGGTAGTGTCGACCACTGGTAAGATTGACCAGAATCAGGAGCACGCGAAAGCCCTCGAGGAGTTTGGCCAGATGGTTGAGGAGGGCCAGCTTATGTCCACTGGGCTCAGTGATGAAGGCAATGGCAAGGTTGTCCGTGACGGGTTGAAGCTGGTGTTGCTTCTAGTGCGAGCTATGACGGCAGACACATGCTTGAAAACCTCCACCGCTGAGTCTGCTGAGACATTTTCCCGTGAGCTCATCGCCTCAGTGCATGAAGTGAATTCCGAGTGCACCAACATCATGGCCTTGCTGTCAGACCTTGACGCCAAAGTCTCCGCACTGACGCCCGACGATCACAAAAAGATTGAGTCTGTGTGGATAACCGTGAGTGGGAGCGCTGAAGAACGAATGAAGTCCATGGCTGAGGACTGCGAGTCGCGGCTGAAGGCAGCTTTGATCCCTGAGTCCGAGGTGGAGATCCCGGAGAGCGTCGACAAGATTGAATCCTACCATGACATCACGGCGGCGTTAGTGAAGGACACTTTCCGGATTGAAACGATTAAAGAGCTCTCAGACAAGACGGTGCAGCTGGGTGACGCAATTACTCATGCGAGGACAGTGTCGACCTCGCTGGGTATGGAAGTTGGCAAGCTCGTTGAGATTGCAACGTCTGAATCCTCCTACCGCTCTGCCATCCGTTGGATGGCAACAGGGAATGTTTTGTACGCGCTGCTCAGCAAAGCCATTGCAAGAGCTGTGCAAACGCGCAGCAAGCCCTCTGCGAAGGCGTTGAGTTCGCTTCAGGACTCTTTGAAAATCGCGTCGGAGAACAGTGTTGAACTTCCTGCTTCTCTACAGGCTGTGATCACGAAGGTTTCGTCCGGTGAGGAAATGTCACTTCGAGGACAGCAGCAGACGGACTAGGAAGTGCAAATTGTAAGGCATGTGATGGTGAGTTCAGTGTTGATTCCGTGTACAGTGAATGAATAATATTATATTATATTATGATCCGTACTGTCTGTCACTCCAAATTTGCTGAAGCGGCATGGGTGGCTGGGCTTTGTCCAGTGGGCGGCTGGTAGAGTCTGGTATTGGTTGTTGTAGTCTTGTAGTTGTAGAGTTGTAGACATTGAGATACCGATAGGCTGCGTTTCGTTAG